CGGGCGTGGTAGCGCATGCCTGTAATTCCGGCTACTCGGAAGGCTGAGGCGGAAGGATCGCCGGAGCCCAACAGGTCAAGGCTGCGGTGGCTGGGAGCGGCCACTGCACTCCAGTCTGGGCGACAGAGTGAGACTCCAACAGACTGCGAGAAAATATTTAGAACAACAAACCCACCAAGGATTAGGATCCAGAACATAAGGACAGCACCTGCATGCATATATATATACATGGATGTACATATGAGGGGGACCCCAAAAAACTGGAGTGATCTCTTGGAGGGCAGGCCCCTTGCAGTACAGGCTTCCCCCGCTAAGTAAGTGTTCTAGGAAGCCCTGGCATCCGTGGATCAGCTAACATTGTGAGAGGCTATGTTTGGCTTCAGTAACATTTTTTGGAGATTCTTTCTACGTGTTTGCTCATTTCATGATGGGTGATTTCCGAGTGCACCTGCCAACACCACGCTGAGTGTTCAGTAGTTTTTGCTCCAAAATGGCAATGATCCCCGTGCTCCACTCTCCCCATTCATTCGATCTTGCCCTGAGCTACTTTTGTCTGTTTCCCCAAATGAAAGTTCTCAAAGGGAAACGTTTTGCTGATGTGGAAGAGGTGAAACCAAAAATGGCAGCAGCACTAAAAGCCATCAAAATTGACAAGTTCAAAAACTTTTGTTTTGAGTCAGAGTCTCACACTGTACCCAGGCTGAAGTACAGTGACACAATCATGGCTCACCACAGCCTCGACCTCCCGGGCTCAGCCGATCCTTCCGCCTCAGCCTTCCAAGTAGCTGGGACTACAGGCATGCGCCCCCAGGCCTGGCTAATTTTCTTCTCAAACTCCTGGGCTCTGGCAATCCTCTCACCTTGGTCTCCCAAAGCTAGTATTACAGGTGTGAGCCAATGTATCCAGTCAAAAGCTGTTTTGAGCAGTGGAAAAATCATCTCGATAGGCATATTGCATCAAATGGTAAGTATTCTGAAAGTGACTGAAATTTAAATATAGAGGGATAAACAATTTTTTATAAATAAATTACAGAGGCCAAGCTCGGTAGCTCAGCAGCTCAGCCTGTAATCTCACCGCTTTGGGAGGCCAAGGTGAGTGGACTGCCTGAGCCCGCGGGTTCGAGACCCGCCTGGGCAACTTGGTGAGACCTCATCTCTACAATAAATCAAAAATTAGCCGGGCGTGGTAGCGCGCGCCTGTAGTTCCAGCTACCTGGACGGCTGAGGCGGAAGGATCGCCAGAGTCCAGCAGGTCGAGGCTGCAGTTGTGGGGAGCAGCCACTGCACTCCAGTCTAGGTGACAGAGTGAGACTCCAACTCAAAAATAAAATAAAATATAAAATAAAATAAAATAAATTCCGGGTTTTTTGGGTCACCCTTGTATGTACCCACACAGCAGATCACTGAATCCCAATTTAAGAATTGGGGGCAAAGAATATGAAGACAACTAACAGACGCACATGTGGCCATTAAGATTATGCAAAGATGCCCAACCTACTTGATAGTCAGTGATATACAAATTAAAACAAGGAAAGGTCACATTTATCCATCAGATTGGCCAGCAAAAAAAAAAAAATTTTTTTTTGAGTTGGAGTCTCACTGTGTCACCCAGGCTGGAGTGCAATGGCACAATCACAGCTCACCTCAGCCTCGACCTGCTGGGCTCAGGCAATCTTTCTGCCTCAGTCTCCCAACTAGCTGGAACTACAGGCGCATGCCACCATGCCTGGCTAATTTATTGATTTTTTTTT